GCGCAAGTACCTTCCATGATTTTTCCGCGCACTCAAGTCAAGATTGTGTTTAAGCAGCGCGGTCACCGGCTACGCTCTATAAATATCACCACCTCTCTTTCAATCGACCAGTACCGCATTTACTTAATTTCCTTTTCCGAAATAGCATTGATTTCAGCTGGTGGTGCTCGTCGAAGTAGTAGAAGCAGGTCGAGATAATGGATGAGAGCGTTGAGGCTGGGCCATCTGTTCTCGACAATCCATTAGGTAAAGGATATTGGAGTTCTATTTTCGTTTCTTCTTCTTTTCACCATTTTCAATGCTTCCTAGATTGTTTTTAAATACTTTTTGAAGGTATCTGTCCATTGGATTGTGGATGAGCTTTATTTAAAAAATGTTTTTAGAAAGGACTAATTAGGGGCTATGAAATGAGCTTAATTATAGTCTTCTATTCAAGAAATGTTCATAATCGCATTGATTTTCAATAGGGGAGATTTCAGTTAAAAAAAAATCAGAATATGTTACCATCTCCCTTCAATATTACTTGTCTTAATTTGACCTTTTTGACTTTTCAGACATTCATTTCAATGAAAATTTAACATAATTTACAGATGACAATTGATTTGAACATAGTTTACTGATGACAATTGATTTTTTTTTTTTTTTTTGGTGAAGCGAAACTACTCAACAGGAACTACCTATAGGAAAAAATAGAAGATTTTCAATTGTCATTCATATGTTTTGTTAAACTTCTGTTTGAAATTAATGTCTGAAAAGTCAAAAAGTCAAACTAGAACTAGTAAGGTTGAATGAAGGGGATAACTGCTTGAACAAATGTGTTGTGAGTAATAACACAAAGTCTTGGGGTTTGATACCGGTTTCCTCCGATCTCTAAAATCAGATAATATTTGTGATTAAGTAGTCACTCTTCACATTAATGGATTGGGGGTCCTACTTATGGCAACTTTAAGTGTACTACGAGTGGTTCTTGCTTGCTGCACCATTCCTTAACAACTTGCTCATGTATATATGGTCCTTTTGTTCACCTCCAATATCTAATTGGTGCTAATTTAATGCTATTAAGTTAATATGAAGGCGGTAATACTCTAGCATGCATTCCTTTTCTACATTTTGTTTCAAATTATTTTGCAGTACTTAATGACTTATAATTGTCATGGTGCAGATATTGAGCAGATTTACTCAAAAGCACAGAATCAGTGGTTTTCCAAACCTGAACTGTGTCAAATTCTTCAGAATCATAAGGGATTCCACATTACCTCAGCACCCCATGAGAAGCCACCAAGTACCATTCCCCCAATTATAATTGCCATAATAAGCATAATTCATTTTGTTAGATAAATGACAATTGCTCTGATGGCATCTGTAACTCGCATTGACTAAACCTTGTTTTTGTATGGCAGCATATCTCTTCCATGATTACATTTGTATTTTCTTTCAACTATTCCTTTTTTTTTTGGCACCCCTGCAGCTGTTTTAGATGTTTAGTAGTTAAATCTTTTCCCCTGTTCTTTAGTTGCTTGGATTCTGTATTGCGATCCATATTCTTTCTTCACAAAATGTTTTTAATTTTACTTTTCTTCATTTGTTTTGTACATGACGTTCTGGGAGTTGGATTTTGCTTCTGATGTGATTTCTCAAGTTCCATCAACAGAGATCATTTACTGCAATTAAAATCTATTTCTAACAAGAATGTGCTTACTTTATTAATTTATTAATTTCTTCAGAACTATGCTTCTCTTATTTCCTACTAAATGAGAACACATTGGAAAAAATTATGTCATTTGTTTGACCTCAAAAATTAATTAGCTTATTTGTAGCATGCCACAAGTTAAATATAAGGAAGGCTACTCCACCTATAGCCAATTGGTTTTAGCTTGGATGCAAGCCTTGTGTTGAGCACACATGCACAATTTTCACACCAACAACTCCATCTATTCTTTCCTTACCAAAACTTCACTTTTTTGGTTAAGGGTATGTGACCTGCACTTGCACTTGCACATGCAGCCATCTTGAAGTGTGCTTCCAACCATATCTTCGTGTAATATACGTTTCTGTTTCAGGTGGTTCGCTTTTTCTTTTTGATAAGAAAGTGCAAAAGCACTATAGAAATGATGGATATAATTGGACAAAGAAAAAGGATGGGAAAACATTATCAGAAGGTCATCGGAAGTATGAGGTAAAAACCAAATATGTTGGACTTTGTTTTGTGTCTTAGCACTGTCAAATACTTCTTTGGAAATGATTGAAACATGTAAGCAACACAGCCTCATTCTGGTACTTTATCAATTGGTTATTCTGTTGAATTCTGATTTGAAAACATCTTTTTCGTGCTTCCAATCTATTATTTTGAACAATCATAATTTCTCAGGTCGAAGGCTATGGTAATTTGAATTGCTACTATGCCTACGGGGAGGAGAATAGAAATTTTCTAAGACGTTGTTATTGGATGCCTGAAAGGTGAGTCTGTCATTTTCTTTTTGGTGAATAAGTCTGCCACTTTTTTATTGCTTAGCGTTTGTGCATCTTTGCATGCCATGTATAAAATTTCAGAAAATAGCCTCTTCTGTTTTTGTAGGTTAAGAGACATAGTTTTAATTGGGACTCTGGACTTCTTATAGGAGTATTTATTTATATGACAGCAACAAAGTATGAAGCTTTCTTTCTTAACCAATTAAGCCCTAAACATCTTGATATAATCAAATTAGATCGATAAGGAATTGCCTTTAAAACTTAAACTGCCTCTTGACCCTTGTTTTAATACAGAAAACAATATTTAAATAATTAATATGTAATTTAAAAAAGAAAAAAAAAAAACTTATATTCCCTTGTCAAAAAGGAAGCGCTTAACCCAACTCTCCCAGCCTCGGAACTATTGCTCCCAAGGGACATGGAGTGCCAGATCTGGACCGTGAATTGCCTTTGCCACAGGAGGGTATAATATTTTCAGTTATTTATTTTATTTTTTATCACATTTAGTTATTCAAAGAATATTGGATTAATTAGTACTATTAATTAATCATTTATGGGTGAAATGTAGGTGTTAAAATATTTTGAGCCATTTTGTCAGATTAAGAAGTCTGGATGCCTTAATGATTAAAAAATTAAAGGACCTTACTAACTACCTTATCATCTTATTAAAGCTAGCGGACTAATTCCTCTTTTTTTTTTTCTTTTTTTTTTTCCTTTTTTTAAATATTTATTTCAAAATTTTAAAACTTGTGGTAGCACAAGTGAAATTCCAGAAACTTGTTTCTATTCCAACAAATCAACATCCGGGTATCATGCTTAGGTTCCCCCGCTTATTTTCAAACAGAGGGGTCATAGTAGGAAGAATATTAGTTGGACCGTGTTAACTTGGTGAATGCAAATTCTGATAAACTTTTTCGGACTTTCTTGCCCATTTCTTGCCCATTGCTAACATAAATAACCATTGCTGCAGGGACTTCTCCCACATCGTTCTTGTCCATTACCTGGAAGAAACGGTTAGACTTCATAATTTATCTTATCATTCTTTCCTTGTTCTTCTTCTTTTTCTTTTGTTAGCCATCTTCTGAAGTGAACTTACGAATTTTATTTTCAACTTTTTACTTCTTACTTCCTAAGGAGATCATATGACTGATGCAGTTTACAAATTTACTGATTAAACTGAAATTTTTAAGTTATATTAAGTCAATTTAAGAGCACAGTCTTGAGTCTAGGTAATATTGTAGTTTTCCCTTCTATTTGAGACAACAGTTGTTTTCACAGTAAAATAAAAGTATTACCTTCTTCTGTGTGTGCTTTAAAAGATATTTCACTTCCTTTCTTATGCATTGGTGCCTTTTAGAATCTTAGTTTCTCAACCACACATCAGACGACTGATAAAAATTATTTCTAAAACCTTCAAAGTCTTTGCTGATATGGTTATTTTGGATCCAGTACTTTAGATATTATTGAGTTGCCTCAGTAATATGAGCCCTTTTTTTTATTCCTTTTTCTTTTGTATTTTCTGAAACTTTATCAGGGAAACAGAGCAAATTTTAATCGTGTTAAAGAGACTGAAGCTGCTGCACCATGTTCCCAAGAAATGGGAGAAAATATGCCCAATTCTGGGATGGAAAGTTCTGTGTCTTCCAAATTTCTTCTAAGTAATGTCCAAGTACCTTCACCTACTATGGATACAACTAGCCTGAATAGTGCACAGGCAGCAGAATATGAAGATGCTGAATCAGGTGCGTTTGTCTTCGCTTCAATGTCCAAGTATATATTATCAGGTGCGTTTGTCTTTCCTCTCTTCTGAGAATTTATTTTACTTTTTTTTTTCATGATTTTTATCTTGGATTTGGAGTTTTAGTTGTAAATTTTCTATGTACTTTGAATAAAATGTGTAGCTATTCTATTAACTGAATCAGGTGCGTTTGTCTTTCCTCTCTTCTGACAACTTATTTTACTTCTTTTTTTTTTCATCATTTTTATCTTGGATCTGGAGTTTTAGTTGTAAATTTTCTATGTACTTTGAATGAAATGTGTAGTT